TTTTTTTTTTTTTTTTGTGTTGATGTCATGATGTAGGCAAATTTTATCCATGCAGCATCTTAAAAGTTATTTTCACCAAATATATATAAACAACAACCAAATACAGTCCCACCAATATATATAGCTAGTTTTGGATTCTTTTCTGAACCTTGCATGTGTTTAATTTGGACTATGCTAAAGAAAAATTTCAGAGTTATATAGGTTAATCGCACAATAAACTTATAAACCACTGTCTCATTTCCACAAAAAATTAATGTTGTTATCAAGTGCCACTTGTGTTACGCAAATTTTCCTATGATCCGATTGAACTGCAATCCACGTGCTCGGTCCGGTTTGTCGTCTCCAATGACCTGCAAAACGCCGAGAGGGGTCCCGGCGGAAAAGACTCTGGCGTTCTAGCAGTCCGTGTACAGTGAGTAATGAAAGCAGTTGTATTGAAATCACTCTCTTAGTTATTATAACTAAAATACCCTAAAATAAGATATCTCAAGATAAAAATATTTACAAGATAAGTAGACCAACTCACTTTGTTCCCTAGTTATAACACCCCTTCTATAGATCTGTCATGGGCATGGGCCTCATGGCAGTACGTTTTGTATGTTACTGTACTTTCAATATGTTTCAACCCAAACGTTTTCATACAATTCAATAATCGAGTCGTATATATGTGTACAATTATTAAGCCAATATACATATTACAGAGCACAACTGCACAAGTTTCAGAGTGTATCTTCAATGTAGCACAAAATTCAAAATAGGAGAAAATGTGAAATCTTGATCCTATATATAGATTCTAAAACAAAACCTCCCAAGACTTCTCACTTCCACCTTGCTCCCACCATGGAACCGCCACCACCACTTAACCACCTCCCTCCGACAACCAAACCACAGCCGCCGCCACTCGACCACCTCCCGCCTACCACCGAACCACCACCACCCCACAAAACATACACCCTCACCGCTGCCTCAATCTCCTACACCAAACCTTCCTCCACCACCACCGCTGTCCTCCTCCTCAAACCTCCATGCACCACCTCCCCTCCACCCCACATCCTCCGCAACATCTCCCTCACGGCCCGCCCCTCCCGCATCCTTGCCGTCGTCGGCCCCAGCGGCGCCGGGAAATCCACCCTCCTCGACATCCTTGCCGCCCGCACCTCCCCCACCTCCGGCCACCTCCTCCTCAACTTCTCTCCACTCCTCCCCTCCGCCTTCCGCCGCCTTTCCTCCTACGTACCCCAACACGACTACTCCCTCCCCCTCCTCACCGTCTCCGAGACCTTCTCCTTCTCCGCCTACCTCCTCAACCCCACCAAAAACCCCCACACCATTTCCAATTCCGTCTCCTCTTTGCTCGACGACCTCTCCCTCCGCCACGTCGCCCACACTAGGCTCCAACCCACAACCTCCGGCGGCCTCTCCGGCGGGGAACGCCGCCGCGTCTCTATTGGGCTCAGCCTTCTCCACGACCCGGCTGTGCTCATCCTCGACGAGCCTACCTCCGGGCTTGATAGTGGGTCGGCCCTCAACGTGATCCAAACCCTCCGCTCCATCACCGACTCCCGTCACCGCACGGTCATCCTATCGATCCACCAACCGAGCTTCAAGATCCTCTCCGCCATAGATGATATCCTCCTCCTCTCCAAAGGCACTGTCGTCCATCACGGCACATTACCTTCACTCGAGGATTTCTTACTCAAAAACGGATACACAGTCCCTCCTCAACTCAACCCGCTCGAGTACGCCATGGAAATACTCGACCAGCTACAGGATAAAACTACAGAATCGCCCCCAGAAAATGTGCCGGAAAATCCCCCGGCCACCACCGACAGCTCGGAAAAGGACGAGATTAGATACAAAAGCTCAAGATACCACGAGATCATCATGCTGTACAGCAGGCTATGGAAAATTATCTACAGAACAAAGCAGTTACTTTTAACAAACACCTTGCAGGCATTGGTGGTGGGGATTGTGCTCGGCACTGTTTACATCAACATCGGGCTCGATAAAACCGGAATCGAGAAGAGATCGGGCCTGTTCGCGTTTACCCTAACCTTTCTCCTTTCGTCGACGACCGAAACCCTGCCGATTTTCATTGGCGAGCGGCCGATTATCCTACGGGAGACCTCGAGCGGCGTCTACAGGCTCTCGTCGTACATAATCGCCAACACGCTGGTTTTCCTACCATACCTGCTCGCGATCGCCGTCCTCTACTCGGCGTCGGTGTATTTCCTCGCCGGTCTCTGCTCCGCGTGGCCGGCAATTCTCTACTTCGTGCTCGTAATCTGGGTGATACTTCTGATGGCGAACTCGTTCGTCCTGTTCCTGAGCTCGATCGCGCCGAATTTCATCGCGGGGACGTCGCTGGTGACGGTACTTCTGGCTGGATTCTTCCTGTTCTCCGGCTACTTCGTGTCGAAGGGAAGCCTGCCCAGGTTCTGGCTGTTTATGCACTACCTGTCGATGTACAAGTACGCGCTTGACGCGCTGCTGATCAACGAGTACTCGTGCCTGCTGACAACGTGCCTGGTGTGGATCGACGGCGGCAGGAGGACGGCGTGTATGGTGACGGGGCGCGACGTGTTGCAGAAGAAGGGGCTTCACGAAGGGCAGAGGTGGATAAACGTGTACGTTTTGATCGGGTTTTTTGTCCTGTATCGAGTCCTATGTTTGGTGGTGCTGATAAGGAGGGTTTCAAGGTCTAAAAGGTGATTCAATCCAAACGGATAACAAAATTGATTCGGGTATTTTCCTTTTTTTTTTTTTTTTTTTTTTTT